AATAAAACCACCATAACCCAGATTTGTCACAAGACTGTCTTTTTACCCGACTGCGCAATGCAAGAGCGCGAAGCGCGACGCGCAACAGGGTATAGTGTTTAACAGTCTATATATGTATGTTTGTTCCTTTGTGGCACACTAGAGACCAAACACGTGGACCGATTTTGATGATTTATACATCAATCGATTCGTTCTAATCATGGGCACTCCAGAAAATAAAACCACCATAACCCAGATTTGTCACAAGACTGTCTTTTTACCCGACTGCGCAATGCAAGAGCGCGAAGCGCGACGCGCAACAGGGTATAGTGTTTAACAGTCTATATATGTATGTTTGTTCCTTTGTGGCACACTAGAGACCAAACACGTGGACCGATTTTGATGATTTATACATCAATCGATTCGTTCTAATCATGGGCACTCCCATAACTAAAGATATGATAATAATAAAAAATCAATATGGAGACAACTGGGCGCCATATTGTGAGAAAGAAAAAAAATAAGTTGCCGAAATATGTCGAGTGGGGTATCATTGTCTAGATAATCAAAAATCATGTTTAGGTTCCTTATACCATTTTTCATTTTATATGATTGTTTAGGATCTACAACGATTTTAAGTTGTATATTAACCACTTGCGCTTTTAATTTCAATCTTTTGTTTGTATGAATCTTTGTAACTCTGTCACTCAAAAAATACTAAATGGATTTTGATCAAAATAACCAATAATAAAGCTCATTCATTATAATAGCATACAGATTATAATTTATGTTGTTATTTGGTGAATTGGCCAAAATATAAAAATAAGTGTCACCTAAGGCGGAAAAAATCTCCCATCTGCGAGCCATTTTGGCCTGCACTGCAAATACAATAAAAGTTACATGAATATACTGTATGGTAGAATTGTATCTCTTATATAGTTCTACAAAAAAGTCCAGGACAGCATATATATATATATATATATATATATATATATATATATATATATATATATATATATATTTAATGTGTAAGCCATTATAGCTAAAATAGTGAATCAAAAATAAAATATTATTTGAAATACATTTCCAAAAGGCATATTTTGTATAAACAAATTATTTTTTATCAAAACAAATACTTTCATCGCTTTTGATGTTTAAAGATGATAAACTTTGCCTTTTACTCTGTGTAATTTCGGCAAATATTTAAAAAGTTACAACGATATTACGATGACAAAGTGATAGCGCGTTGTTCTATGCAGGAGAGTATACTGCGGGAATGGTGGGAAAAGTGATGAATTTTGGTGTTTATAAACGTAGATAAAACCTAGGAGGAAAAGAAAAAAAATGGGCTACTGACAGTATCTAATCCTATACGAAGTTCTTACAATAAAACTGTGATAAAGTTCCTTCTTATTAAATGATGAAAAATAAGATATCATAATAAATATTTATATTTTTTTAAATTTAATGAAAAACTGAGAATGAAACGCTATATAACGCTAATAAATATTTTAACGATATTACTTCATATTATTCTGCAGATTCTTTAAATAATATAAATAATATAAAGTTTTAAAGGTAAAGGTCACCCCTCCCTACCCCTATAGATATTTCGATAATGTAGCTTAGATCCAAGGACTCATCTATTTTTTATAGGGAAATTCATCATAATCGATTTAGCCATAAGGGCGCGAAATCGCAACAAACTAAATCACTTTCGCATCTATAATATTATATTATACTAGTGATCCGAACCTATAGCCTATGTCACTCGAATATGTTATAAAGAAAAAAAAATCTAAAAAAAACCTCGGAGAAGTTGTTAGAATTTTTCAAGTAAAAGTTTCTTTAGTTTTGTAAATCGAGCAGATTATTCAACTTATTAAGATTAATGCTTAAAAATATTAATAAATAATGTAGCTAGCAACCTTATCGTAAATGAATTTTCGAAATCAGATCAGGTTTGAAAGATTATTATTTGTTACACGCATACAACTCTTGCCTCTTTATAATACCTATTAGTATAGATAGTTAGGATAACAATATTTAACCACTGGCACCTACATATTTGGTTCTGTGAATTATGTAAGTAAAACAATCATGAGACAAGGATATGCACTGCATTTGTGTATATCACAATCTTAGAGCTGCATACAGCCACTGCCAATTTTAGATAGTCGACGAATTTAAGTAAATGAATGTTTTATGAACTACTAAAAATAACATAAGCAAAAGATGACTTTTTGAATAAATACGGAAAATAAGTACTAGTTAAGTACATAATTTACATTCATTAGATATACGGATAAGGAATTGATTTAACTTTAAACGTTTTTGCAAAAATTGAGGCCCATAAGGCCTTGACCCTGATGGTAAGGTGTCGTTTAGACCACCGCAAGGTACTTAATAATCCGCTTGATATTAACTTCCTTATTAAAGTGACAAGACTGCAGTATATACCGCTATTTAATCCTAACTAAAAAGTGTAAAATAAAAAACGTAAATTTAAAAAAGCAAAAAACCCGACTGCTTAAATATCAGATCAAATAAAAACTGAAAAGAAAAAAACAAGTCCAGTAGTTTATAATTCTGTTAAGTAAGGAACAAAGCTACTTTTACAGTCGGGACCCATTATTGAAAAAAATTGATCCATCCTTAAATATCTAATGGGTCCCGACTGTTAAATAAGCTTTGTTCCTTACTTAACAGGTATTGTCCTAATACAACGCGATAACGCGATCATCGCGCGATTAAACGATGCGACCATCGCGTGATCGCGAACTGGGTGTCCTAATAGAACGCGAATACGGAACGGGTTAGCCCTGCCCCTCTCCCCGCTTCCTATCGACGCGACGCGATCATCGCGCGAACTTCAGTTAGGACACCTATTCATCATTAATAGGTTTGATTGCGCGTTCGCGTGAACTAAGTTCGCGCGAATAGATTTTTAAACATTTTAGTCGCGCGAATGGATCGCGCGATCGCCTATTAGGACACCTATTCTAGATCAATATGTTTGATCGTCGAATCGTACGATGATCGCATCGCTCATTCGCGTTATCGCGTTGTATTAGGACAATGCCACAGAATTATAGACTACTGGACTTGTTTTTTTCTTTTAAGTTTTTATTTGATCTAATATTTAAGCAGTCGGGTTTTTTTGAAATATTAATTTACCTTTTTTTATTATATTTTTAAATAGGAATAAAAATTTCAATTTATAAAGGAGTTTCAATTCGTAACACTATCCGTAAATGGAATGCTCTGCCTGCTCACGTGTTCCCTCCTTCTTACAACCAACCTGGGATCCTTAGGATGAAAAGAGGCGTGAAGAAGCAACATGCTGGCCGGCAAGGTGATGATGGCTATTGTGGTAAGTAGAACTGCTGTACCAGCTATCTTCACGTCTGAACTTCACCATCACTTCACATCAGGTGGGGTGGAGTCATTTGTCGGACCTAACTATATATATAAAAAAACAGCCTTGTCATTCTCTATGCATTCATTGCATTCTTTAAAGGACAATGGGCAAAACACACTCAGCTCCGCAAACAATGTAATTAGTATGAATCGATAGATCTATGAAAAACTAGCCTTTTTTATTATGACACCGTAAAAAAATATCCTGGTAGTCAAAAGATTTGACACATGGGCATATTTAGTAGTTATAAGTAGCTAAATAAATTCATTTAAGTGTACCTTTTTTATATTAATAGTAACCATAATAATATGCCATATCGTACTATACAACCAGATATTCGCCAAAGCCTGCCGACCATCCTGCGTTTGCACTTACTGAGATACCTCAAAACGGTTTACGGGGGTTGAAGGACTTGTAGTTGCAAATAGTCGACTTGTCTTACTTCTTTGTGATTGTGCGCTCCCTGTCACTTGATTGTTTTTTATCTAACACGCTTTGGATATTGGAACACGATTAATGGTTTTGTCAATTAATATGGATGAACTGGAATCATGTTTTCTCCGAAGCGTGGACAAGTTTGTGTGATTTGTGGTCGCTCCGTTTTACATAGAAGACTACAACAAACAGAATGTTTGGAGAAACCCCAACCCATGCGGGAATTTTTGAATTTACTCTAGCGCGGCAGAATAACATAAGGTGGCACCCTTGCCCATTGTGAAGTACTCCCATAATACCTGAGCCCCTTAAATAGGATCGAATTAACTAACTAAATAAATTCACTTGTTTCATTAATGTTCGTTCGTTAAGTACTTGTACCTATTTAACTATAAATAACTAAAGACCCCTGGGATGGAAATTGATGCGCTTTGGCATAGATAATCATGACTATAATACATTTCAAACAAATATAGTTTAAGGCGTGGGTACAGCGTCCATACATTTTTGCCCAATGTCCTTTTAAGTTTAGAGAATCATACCAGAATCGATACCTGTGTCTATGTTTATCACTATCCTTCTTAGGAAAATATGTTATATTAATGGCAACATTTATAAACAAAAGTTTGTTCTCATACTAGTAATAACACAAGAAAGCCGATCTATCATTGGTGGATAATAAAAAAAATACGCTTTTGACCAATCATAACGTTTCCTTCGTGTAATTTTTATGTCATGCATTTATGTAAATGAGGTAGGTAGGAAACTGTGGCCCGTTTTTGTGCGAAAAGAGCGCGATTTGTGAACCAATTTTTAATTCAAATTTTGAATTCACATCACACCAACTTTCGTTTTCGTATCATAATTAAAATATTTTAACTTATCAATTGTGAGAATTCTCACAGTGCTATTTTAAAACAGAGTAGATATTCGATTCGATGACGGGGCAGACAGCAGCAAGCGGTAGCACATTCCACTGGCGCAGCCCTGGCGGACATCGCCCCAGATCGAACGATTGCGACGCACCCCGCGACCGAACCGTAGCCCCCTAGTCCTAGTCTTTAACCTACTTATAATGAAGTTCTAAATTCAAAAAACCTCACTACGTTAGAATAATCACACGCTTCAAGAATTCGCCTTATAGATCAATGTGGTAATCAGAAAAATGGAGGATGCCTTTATTATAACCAATTTCCACTCGCTCTGTCGATTATGTCTCAACAAAAGTACATTCGCAGTGTCATTATTTGGAGCAGCACCAGATGATGAAAGTAATATTTCTCTAACCTCTAAAATAGCAGAATGTTTTGAACTGCAGGTAAGTCTTCTAACGTTAATACAGTGTTAAATAAAATAAAAGTGTATGTTCAAATAATTTTTGTTTAGAACCAATATTTCTAGAAATTCATTTGCTTCATGCTTGTATTTTTATGTAAATTTACTCTTATTATTTGCCAACAGATGGACCCTAGTGATGGGCTTCCCAGCAGGATATGCTACAAATGCCTATTTAAATTAGACAAATGCTGTAAGTTCAAATTACAGTGCATACAAAATGAGTCGAGATTGAGACAAATCACATCTCGATCGAATGACATGGACAACTCCAATTCATCAGAAGTAAGTACCTATAATTATACAAATTGTCAAGATTCCCTTAAGCCAAAACCTGAGGATTTCATTGTAGAAGACAGTGTTGTTATGGTTGTTGATCCTAGTCTTGACTATGACTCTTCTGAAGAGTCCGAAACAAATGAGCAAGCTGATACTGAACCCAGCGAACGAGTCAACACCCCAGACGGTGAACCAGTAACAGAATCAGTCTTCAAGAATGTTTTCATGTGTCAGTATTGCGATCAGGCATTCGTCTCACAAGATAAATGTACTCAACATGAAGAGAATTACCATGATCGCAATTTACCATATAAGTGTGTGGAATGCAGTTTAGTTTTTGCTGAAAGAACACAATACGTACAGCACACAAAACAAGTCCATGGCAATGACAAACCCTACCATTGTCCAGAATGTGACAAATGTTTCGGACGTAGGTCAGATTTAAGGAAACATTCTGTTGTACACACTGGAATAAGACCATATCAGTGTCATTATTGCTTAAAAAGTTTCTCACGTAATACTAATTTGAGTAAACATCTAAGAATCCATGCAGGCCATAAGCCACATGTTTGCCCTTTGTGCCCAAGAAGTTTTGTAGCAAAAGGTGATTTACAAAGGCATATACTTGTCCATTCATTTATGAAACCTTTTGTGTGCAAGAAATGCCCTTTATCATTTGGCAGGAGAGATAAATTATTAAAACATGAACTCCGACATGGGCCTGCAGATACAGAACCCAAAACTGAATTTGAAAATGATGATACTCATGATATGGTAGTAAATGTTAACCCTTTTAGTAACTTAATGACATCATCAACACAAGTAAATCCAGATTCATCTAATGTTGATTATGACTTACCCAGAGTTCCAGATCATATTTCAGGGGAAAGTAGCTTCATGAATCAAGTTCCGAATCAGAATAAAACCAGAACTACATCCACTTCTGCAAAACAACTGCAGAGCTCCCCTACCAAATCTAAAATTCTAGCCAAGAACAGACCCAAAAATATAAAATGTCATCAGTGCCCCAAAAGATTTTCATCTTTAGATGCTTATAAAACTCATGTGTCTGTAGCTCACATTGGATCAAGAATATTCCAATGTAAAATTTGCTTCAAAAAATTTTCACGAAAAAGGGAATTAGATAGACACGCTGCTTTACATACAGGCATGAAGCCCTTTTCGTGTAGTCAGTGTGATAAGAAGTTCACCAAAAAAGATAAATTAGATAAACATGAACAAACTCATGAATGCTTGGTTGTGAATATGCCTTGCATAGAATGTGGTGCCACTTTTGAGAAAAAAGCAGACTTAGTGGCACACATTAAATCACATTTTACTGATAACTTTGATGATAAGAGTTCAGAGACTGAGATAAAGAAAGAAAATGAACCTGATTTTCCTTTGAATGATAATTTTTATGATTTAGGAACTTGAAAATTAGTTTTTGGCATTTAACAAATGTCTTTTATTATTATTATCAATTTATGATTGACAGTATTGTTCCTCACACTGTACTTACATGTCATTAATTCTTGGTAAGAAATATATTCTTTCATCAGATAATAAACAAGTAAATTATTAACTACATACTTTTAAGAAACTTGTTTCCTCTCAAATATTTAGTTTTATAATGTGAATGAGGCCTATTTCTTAGTATAGTAATTATCAGTAATTTATAATTAAATACACTGTGTTAGAAGATGTAGTGGTTGAATAAACTGTAGACATTAATAATAACTAGAAAATAAGTACATAATTTTGTATATTTTATGTCAAAATTGTGTGAAAGATTTTACACTGGCTTAGAATGTATCTAATTACAAATCAATTTGTGGTCATATAAGTAATAATGATGGTAGTCTTCTTTTATAAGTTTGCACCTGTAATATTGTATAGAAAATTGATCTTTGACATTTTAAAACCAAATAAATATTCATTATTTTGTTGCCTTATTTCTATCATGTATGTTATCTTGGAAGTTTGAAAAGGCCTTCAAGAAACTTTGTGTATCTTTATTTATTCTAGTGTAACAAATGTAAATAACAAATTAATGTTCAGTAATTTGTTTTGTTCTAAACCTCATAACTTTGTTAAAATTAATGTTATAAATTGTCCAAAGGTAGTTGAATAGTTAATTAGATAGTTATATTATTATGAAAGTCTCATATTTAAATTTAATTAATATTAAGGTTTTTTGTTCAAGCTGTTTTTTTTTTTAAAATGAAAAATTAAATATTGACCACACCTATGATACAATTAATCAATACAAATCACTTTAGTTTTCTTATACTTGGAATCATATTTGTTGATATAATTCAATTTCAGGTTGAAAAATAAAAGTGATCATATTGACAATACAACTTTTTATTTATTATTAATATCTGGCCAAATGGATGTTAATTTAAATTGTACATAATATAATTACAAAAATATTGAATATGCTTTACAAAATGTTAAATCGATAATTTAACCAGCTAAAGGATTAGCATGAATAGTTACTGATGTTATTCTTGCCTCATTATGTGGCCTGAAAGTTTTGGGGTTAACTTGCATTTTTTCTAAATCATCGAGTGTTTCAAATCCATCTATTATCCTGAAACATACAATCACACATTTTATATTAATAGCATTTGATACATACAGTGTTAGAACAAAAATTTATCCAGACTTTTTTTTTAATTCTGTGACTAACCTTCCAAATACAGTATATTTAAGGTCCAAGTGAGGCTGTTCAGCATATGTAAAGAAAAATTGACTACCATTTGTATTTGGGCCATTGTTAGCCATACTGACCATTCCCCTTGCACTATGCTGTAACAATTATTGATTATATTAGTTTAAAACAGTGGAGTATGTAAAACTATAAAGATACAGAACATTCTGCCCAAAATAATAAATACCCAGCTCAACTCCATTCATTGCTTTAAACATTTATTTCAGTAAATACATACTATTCAGAATAAAAAATTATTAATTTCTGCTACAGATTTCACCTGTGAATGGGCTTGCTAAAATAAACATCAATTCTTTCATGTTCTGCAGATGTTTTCCCTAAAACTAACATTACAATATGAAAATCTTATAATGTTTACCTTTAGTTCTTCTTTGAATTCATCTTCAAATTTTCTCCCCCATATTGATGTACCTCCTTTGCCAGTTCCTGTAGGATCTCCTGTCTGTACTATAAAGCCCTAAAAATCAATGTTTCTTTTTATGACAAAGTCGGTTACAATAAATTAGCATGAAATGAAATGTTATGATTGATGACAGGAGGCGCTCTTGTTTATGTTACCTTACGCGTTTTGAACCTTTTTATAATATATTTCATTTGAATATTAAAAAACTATAACATTTTATTAATATAATAAATTAAACTTTGTTTAATAGGAAAATACCTTAATATTCCTATGAAATAAGCAGCCATTGTAATAATCGCTAGCACACAGAGCTAAGAAATTTTCACACGCCTTTGGACATTGTTCACAGAACAACTCAAGTTTTATATCTCCTATATCTGTATGCAACGTGACTGCCATTTTAATTAAAGCTTTTAATACAAAATTTTACCTATTTTGTATGTATTAATCAGTGATATTTACAATTTTTCTAGCCTGGACACTGAAATCGACTGACTGACCGACGGGCAGTGGTGACAGACGTCAGACGTCAGTCACTATTAGTGGGGGAGGGGAGGCATCCTTTTCCTTTTCCCATTCTGGGAAGGCAAAGGGTACTGTGCCCATACAGCCAATTCTTAAGTTTAATATTTCAGAATAATATATGCTGTATATAATATTTAAGCAGTAATAAGTTGTATTTCTTCTTTTTTGTAGCCAGAGCGAAGTCTTATTTTAGGTATCTTGTCTTCAAAGTACTTCTACTTCTTTCTTAGCGTTTTTCTTTTTATAATATTGTCTTCTTTTGTGTTTTTTCAGTAAGGCCGAAGCCAAGTCGTTTGTGTATATGTCAAGATAAGTCATTGTCATTGGTAGAAATGTCAAGAATATTTTGAAATATTTTCAAGTCATATCAAGTTCAGAGTCTTTTAAAAAATGTCCAATTCGTGGGTTATTTTCAAGTCATAATTGTGAGTTCGTAAAGCAAGGTCTTTAGTCAAGTTAGAGGTATGAAGATGTGATTGTAATATGAAACAATCAAAATTTAAATATCAATAACGGTCGTATTGATATATTGATAAATAGGTTTAAAACAACTCTTGTTTGATAAGAGCTGAGGTAGAGAGCGCGGGATATTTGCAGATATTTTATAAATATCTAAGAGTTGATCTATAAAAATCATTCTTTGTAACGAAAAGGCACTACAATCAAAAAACAGATGATGAAGAGTTTGGCTAATTGGTAGACGACAATAATTACAATCAGAAGACGAGATTAAGTTCAACCTGTGTAGATGAGCATTAAAACGACAGTGTCCTAAACGCAAGCGACAGATGGTTGTAAAAAACTTTCGACCGTTATAATCCTTTCCTTTGCAGAACCATGGAATACTGATTTCATTGTTGATTTCAACATACCATTTGCCTTTCGTCTCAGTAATTCTGGACCAAAGTCTTTTGAAGGTATCTATTATATTATTCTTTATGTAGTGTAAAAGATCTGTTTCAGGTATTAGAATGGCCTTAAATACAGAGCTGATAATATTACTATGGATATCGTTTGTAATAGAAGTGGCTATAAAATCTGCTTTTTCGTTTCCAACAACACCAATATGGGAGGGGGTCCAGAAAAAGACAATATCCCTTACAATATTTGAGTGTGTTAATTGATAATGTTTTTCCCTGATTTGGTAAATTAAATAATTAGTTTTAGCATTGAATTTGGGACTGTCTAAAGCTTTTAAAACACTCATACTGTCAGTGATTATTATCCATTTAGGATGATTTTGATGTTCAATGTAATGAAGAGCCTCCAAAATGGCTGAAGACTCTGCTGTATAAATACTGGCTTTATCTGATAACATGTAACCTAAACCTCTCTCTGCTCCTAAATCATAGAAGGCCAAAGAAACTCTTTCATTGCTCTTTGCACCATCAGTGTAGATTTGGCTATACCCTATGAAACTCTGCAAACTTGTGTAAACATCTTCTTTATATTTTAATTTGTGGTCTATGACTACATTTATTGATGAAAATTTGCTTAGATATGAATCACTGTAGCAAGGTAGGCTCAAGCTCTGATAGATGTTGTTATTGGATGCCAAAACTTTGATTTCATTTAAGCCATGAGTTAAAAATGTAGAACTGTTTCTATTAGCAGCTTGCATTAATTTTAAAAGTAGAGGATGCCTGATGAATGATGAAAGTTTTAATAGAAATTTATAGTGTAGATATTTAAACCGTAAATTTAAGGGCAGGATGTTTGCTTCAACTTGCATTGAAATAATAGGGGTTGACATCATAGCTCCCATAATAATGCGCAGACATCTGTTTTGAATCTTATTTAGTCTTTCAACTAGTTGAGGCTTATGTGCAAAACAGAAAAAACCGTATTCAAAATGACTCCTAACTAAGCTTTTATATAAAATTAGTAGTAATTTGGGATCAGATCCCCAATATGTGCCTGCTAATGATTTTATTATGTTACAAGCTTTTATACTTCTATTTGTCAAAGTTTCGATATATTTGTCCCATTTAAAATTGCTTTGAAAAGTAACTCCTAAAAATTTTGTTGATGATTCCGTTGGAAGTAAATTACCATTGTAATAAATTTTGATCATTCTGGTGGAGAAGGTGTTGAAACCTATTACCTTACTTTTATTAATACTAATATCCAAATTTAGATTATCCAAATATGTATTCAGTTTTTTTAATGCACCATTTATTGTATAATTATTATCTTGTATATTGTCACCAGAAGAGTAAACCACTAAGTCATCAGCAAATTGAAGGTTGCAAACTTCGTTACCAAGTTCAATGTTGATTCTGTGGGTATATAAAATATAAAACAGGGGACTTAGTATACCGCCTTGACTTACGCCTTTAAAAGAAAATCTAGGCCCAAATAATTGACTATTATATTTAACATAAATTTGTCTACCATGAAGAAAAAGTTTAATCCAGTTAATTATTTTTAAGGGAAGTTGAAAAGAAGCTAGGATAGAAGTCAGTTTATCTAAATTTACGTTATTGAAGGCGCTAACTACATCAAGAAAAACAGCAATAAGTACTTTATTACTATGCACAGCATTATCAATATCCAAATATAAATGACTAAGACTCTCCCGAGCAGAACGGCCCCGTCGGAATCCAAACTGATTACTGGGTAAAATATGATTATGTTCAATATAGAATTCTAGTCTTTGTTTTAGTAATTGTTCAAATATTTTCCCTACACAAGAACTAAGAGTAATTGGACGATAAGAATCTGCACTATTTGGATCTTTGTCAGGTTTGAGAATTGGGATAATACAGTCTAATTTCCATTCATTGGGGATGATAGAAGATTGCCATAGTAAATTTATTATTTCTAAGAACTTTTCCAGACTAGATGAATTTAGAAGTTTAAACATTTTATAAGACAAACCATCAAGTCCACAGGCAGTGTCTTTTCTTGATTTCAGTGCAGCCTGGAGCTCAACTAGTGTGAAAGGATCGACTATGTAGGAATTGGAGGGGGGCAAGTTTGAATTACTAGTATTAGTACAAAAATTGGAAGGTCTTTCTACAGTATCAGGTGTGTATTTGCATAAAAACTCATTTATCCACTCTCCTTTTAGAAAACTTTTTGGGGGTGTATATGTTTTATTGAATTTTCTCATTTTCTGCCAAATGACACTCATAGGAACTAAGCGTGATATAGAAGAACAAAATTGTTCCCAAGCAAAACGGCTTTCATTTCTAATAATAAGCTTCTTGGCTGCCTGAGCTCTTTTAAATGCTATGTAATTTTGCAAAGAATGATTTGATTTAAATAAAATGTATGCCTGTTTGCAAGCCTCTACTGCTTTAGTACATTTATCGTTCCACCAGGGTAGAGGTATGAATATTTTCTTTTCCCTACTCTGCAAATTTCTATTGACATTTTGTGTTCTAACACTACGATCTGATCTAGAGCTTCTTATTGTATCTTCAGCTACAGAAAATAATAAAGTACATAACCTAGAGTAAGATTCTATAGCATCGGAATTATTTACCACAAAATGCTTAAGTAAACTATTAACATTTTGTTCATATTCTGACCAGTTTACTTGTTTAGGATTAAGCTGTTTGAAAGTATGAGAAAAAGTTTTAGGGATATAATTAACATGTGAAAATGAATACTGTGTTACAGTGGGAAGATGATAGCCGCCTAGAGGAGTATCACAGACCTGCCATTCACAGGACAAGGCTAAGTTTGAAGAAACCATTGTCAAATCAAGACCACTTGGACGCCAACTGTTTGTGCCAATTGTAGTGGGACTTCCATTATTTAAAAGAACCAAATCATTCTCTTCTATGATATCTATTAAATCTCTGCCCCGGGAGTCTATACTAGCGCAGCCCCATACTGTATGATGTGCATTAAAATCGCCGGCTAATATCATAGGTTTAGAAATAGATTTTATCAAGTTCACCAGTTTTAGCTTACTGAACGAAGGGTTAGAGCGAGGTGGACAATAAAAACTGACTATATAAAGAGACTTATTATGTATTTGAATTTTAATGCCTATGTTTTGTATTGATGAATCAGAAAAAGTTGTAATGTTTTGAAAGTAAATGCTGTTGTGTATTATAATAGCCACTCCATTGTGATTGTTACCAGAATCATTTCTAACTACAGTGTAACCTCTAATATCGAACTTTATATTGGGTTTTAACCAAGTTTCAGAAATTAATGCAATATGTATTTGATGATCACTAAGAAATTGTTTTAAAACATTTTTGTTATGTGTAATACTTTGAGAATTCCATTGCATTATATTTATGCTATTAAAATTGAATTATAAAATAAAAAAAATTGAAGCTTGTATGTAATTTCTTAGTTATTTAAAATAAATATGTAAGTATCATGTTTTACTGTTTTGTAATGTAGTTTGTAGAATATCAATAATATTTTGAGAATTTATAGCCATATTCTCTGTTTTGTTTAAAGATATAATTTTCAGTAAAGATTCTGTTAATAAGCCTAAAAATTTTTTATCTGTGATTATTTTGGTCATGTCTTGGGGTGATTGTGTCAAAGAAGGAAAATTATTCTCATTAAATAATGAATTATATGGTCTTTGAATAACTTTATTTTTGTTTTCTATAATTTTTTTCTGTTTTGTTGGACATTTACCAGAAATAGCGATGTGATTCCCTTTGCAGTGAATGCATAAAGCCTTGTCTACACTGACAGTGCACGTCTTGAAGGAGTGACCTTCACCACAAATTGAGCATCTTTCAGAGTTTTTACAAAATTTTGCCAAATGGCCGTACCTTAAACAGCGGAAACATTGCTTAACAGGAGGTACGTACGGCAATACCGGCAACCTCCACATCTTCAGAAAAACATAATCAGGAAGAGATGTTGAGCTGGCAAAGGTTATAGCAACAGTC